ATAACAGAAAAAAAAAATAATAAAAGTCCCGTGCATAATGCATTAGCTGTCCAGCATAGTTCTATACTTCTTTTTTGTTATCATCATTCATCAGTATCAATGTATTAATTATAATGTCTATATTTCTATCTATCACTAATATATTTATTATTGTTTTTCAATTAAGTCAAAAAATCAAAAAATAAAAACAGATAACAAAACCAACAGAGAAGTTGGTTCGTATTTCATTTGTGAACTCAGAAACCGTAAACCCTAGCCTCGTGAATTTCATCTCGTATTCTTCTCTCTCAGCATCCCGGCGTGCGACCTTCGAGCGGCGACCTTCGAGTGACGGCCTTCGAGCGACGGGACCTCGAATCGAGTGGCGGCTGGAGAGCGGCAGAACCTCGACTCGAGAGGTGAACGACAAACGGCGAGACCTTCAACAGTTGGACTCGAGCAGCGAGCGGCAAGGGGCAGCAGGGTCTTCGAACGGCGCCGGCAACAACAACACTCCATTTCAGTAAAGGGTAATGATGGCTAAACTTGAACCTCTTTGATTTTTTATTTTTCTATGGGGTGTATTTGTGTGTTTAGTGATTGTGAATTGAATTGGGTGACATTAAATTGAATCAATGTTGTGATTATGAATTGAATTTTGAACTTTATGAATGATGAGCTGATTTTGGTTTGTTTTTCTTTATTTTCTTTTGGAGGTGTTGAAATCATAATGGATTCATCTTCTACGGACAAATGCATTAATGTGGATAATGATAATGAAAATGAAATGCCTGAGGAGACGTCTAAAGCTAACCTAAGGGAAACTTCTGATGTTTGGGACTTTTTTGATAAATCGGGTGTCGGTGCGGATGGTATATTAAGAGCTAAATGTAAGGGATGTGAAAAGGAGTATAGGTCTGGGGGTAAAAGACATGGAACTTCTACTTTGAGGCGTCACATGCAAGCTTGTAAAATGATAAAATATCATGATGTTGGTCAAATGTTTGTTAATAATGAAGGAAAAATTCAATCTAGAAAGATATGTCCCAAGACTTCACGAGACTTGTTAGCTGCTGCAGTAATTAAGCATGATATACCATTTTCGTTTGTCGAATATGATGGCATTAGGGCTTGGATGTCTTATATAAGCCCCAATGCTCCTCGTGTTTCTAGAAATACTCTTGTTTCCGACATTACGAAAATGTATACAAGGGAGAAAGCGAAGCTTAAGCATGTTTTGACTAGTCTTAAAAGTAGAATTTGCTTAACTTCTGACGTGTGGACTGCATGCACTAGTGAAGGGTATATTTGCTTGACTGCGCATTATGTTGATGAGAATTGGAAGCTAAATAGTAAAATACTTTCGTTTGATGCCATGCCTCCTCCACATTCCGGGGTTGAATTAGCTTCTAAAGTATTTGAATGTTTGAAGGATTGGGGGATTGAGAAGAAAATATTTTCATTGACACTTGATAATGCGAGTAGCAATGATTCTATGTCCAAATTTTTGAAAGAACAACTTGCTTTGAATGGGAGCTTAATGTGTGATGGAAAGTTTTTTCATGTTCGGTGTGCCGCTCACATTTTGAATCTTATTGTCCAAGAAGGTGTGAAAGTTATTAGTGATGCATTGGCAAAGATTAGAGAATCTATTAAATATGTGAAAGGCTCACAAAGTAGGATGAAAAAATTTGAAGAATGTGTAAAAGCGGTTGGTATTGAAAGGGGTGTGGGTTTGAGACTTGATGTACCGACCCGTTGGAACTCAACATATTTGATGTTGGAGAGTGCTATTGAATACAAAAGGGTTTTCTCTTCTCTTCAATTACATGATCGAAATTATGTTTTTTGTCCTTCAAATGAAGAGTGGACGAGGGCGGAGAAAATATGCGATTTCCTTGAGCCGTTTTATGAGACTACCAAATTGATCTCCGGTTCCTCTTATCCTACTTCCAACATGTATTTTATGCAAGTTTAGAAGATACAAGAGGCATTGTTGAGAAATATGGTGAATGATGATGAAACTATAAGAGAGATGTGCATGTTGATGAAAGGAAAATTTGACAAGTATTGGGGTGAGTATAAAGAGTTGCTTGCATTTGGTGCCATTCTTGATCCAAGAATCAAATATCTCATGTTGGAGTATTTTTATTCCAAAGTTGAGTTTGATCATGTCAAATGCGAGAAAACCATGTTGCTTGTGAAGCAAAACTTGTACAAATTATATGAGAGTTATGAGAGTGCTTTGGGTCCACCTTCTTCCCAAGGGCAAGTTTCTTCGTCTCAAACTATTCCATCTCCATTGCAAAGTAGATCGACTTTGAAAACACATGGAAAAAGAGTTTTTGATGTAAGCATTTCTAACGAGTTTCATGTTATATATTTTCTTTATTTTTCTATGTGTGATAAACAATTATTATTAAATGAATTTTTTGATTTAATGTAGGACATGTTGTCTTTTAAGAGCAAATCTAAAAGAATTGCCGGGAAATCTCAATTGGACCTCTATTTGGAGGAACCAAAACTTGAATTTGGTTTTTATGACAAATTGGATGTTTTGGGGTATTGGAAAGATCAAGAGAAGCGATTCCCGACCCTTGCATTGATGGCACGTGATGTGTTGGTCATTCCCATTACTAGTGTTGCTTCGGAGTCCGCATTCTCCATTGGTGCTCATGTGCTCACCAAGTATAGGAGTCGTATTCTCCCGGAAAAAAATTCAAGCTCTCATTTGCACTCGTAATTGGTTGCATGGGTTTGTTGTTGGTAAGAAATATTTATTACATTTAAGTTACATTTATTCATGTACTCGGTTTAATATATACTTCAATATGTCCCTTTCTTTAACTTATATTTTTTTTATTTTTTATATGTAGATGATGAAAGAAAGAAAGAAAAATCAAGTGATGGCTCAAATGTTCTAACTAGCATTAATGAAGAAGGTGGTGAAGGAGAAAATGAGGATTTTGATGATGTGATGATTGATGAATTTTGAGTTTGATGTGGTGTCTTTGATCTTTTGATGTAATTCACTAGTTTGTTTTCTTTTGATGATTGATGAACTTAGATTTTAAATTTTAATGTTTGTATGACATTGTCTTTTATTTGTTTGGGTTTGATTTGAATGAATGTTTTTTTCTTGTTTTTTTAAGCTACTACCAGGTGGTTTTTTCTCTTTAAAAGCAAGTGGTTTTTTTCTTTGAATTTGTTACAATTACCTTGCAAGTTAAAGGTAGCAGGCTAGCAAGTAGGTAGCAACATTATTTTTTTTTAAAAAAAAATTTTGGCGGG